AATCACATGGGCTGCTACCACAATCAACCCATTGTCAACTACTGGTGGTCCCCATTAGCGGCTATTGATTTTCCCAATCTGACCATCACCCATTCCCTTGTCAGCCCAACAGCTAGTCTCACTCTCTCTCTCTGCGCTCTATCTCCACCTGTTGTTTTCCCCCCTCTCCTCTCACCATCATGTTCAGCATATATACCACATATATTGTCCTTTCTACAATCTGTTCTGAAGAAGGGTCTCTGGACCCAAAATGTTATACTTTCTCTCCACAGATGCTGCCAGACCTGCTAAGTTTCTCCAGTAATTTCTGGTTTTGATACATTCTAAATGACGCCTTGACATTTTAACCCAGACTTTAATTCTTAATTTCTCCTTTTATTCGTACAAGCCCTGTCCATTCCTGCTGCCCATCTCCAACTAGTATATATTGACTTTTTTTTTAAATTTAACATGTTTTTCTCATCAATTACTAACTAACCAATCAATAACTATTTAGAGTTGTTATTACACACCTCTGGCACAGGAGGGACTTGAACCCAGGCCTCTTGGCCTATGGGTAGGACGTTACCACTGAGCCATATTGATTACTATAAGCTGTGTGGCTTAACACCACCACCTTGAGAGCAGTTAGGGATGGACAATGCAAGTTGACCCAGTCAGCAATGCCCAGATCTTGAATGAATCAAAAAATTTACAATGCATAAATCAGTAAATAAGATACAAACAGAAGGGAGATTCAACATGAAAGTAACAGAAATAAGCATGGGGAAATAAAACATTCAGTGACAAGCTAAGATTGAGACATGGATGAAAATTGTAAAGACAAACTGAAGGTGATGAGAAAGGTTAACTGGGAAGAAACAGGAACTCAGTTACAGGAATAAATTTTTCCTTGTTTGTGATTCGATAAGAAGTCAATGAACATAAGGTAATAAATATTCTTGCACGAGTGCGGCATTAAAATATGTAGACCCATCTTGGTTCAGTTCATTATTTGGAGTGCAGTATCTCAAGTGATATTTTCATCCTATTCATGTGAATTCAGTACGGGTGAAAATTATAACATAGTCATAGAGATATACAACACGGAAACAGATCCTTTGGTCCAACTTGTCCATGCCGTCCAGATATCCTAAATTAATCTATTCCCATTTGCCACCATTTGGCCCATTTCCCTCTAAACCCTTCCTATTCATATACCCATCCAGATGCCTTTTAAATGTTGTAATTGTAACAGCCTCCACCACTTTCTCTGGCAGTTCGTTCCACACACACACTACCCTTTGTGTGAAAACATTGTCCCTTAGGTCCCTTTTAAATCCTTCCCCCACACCTTAAATCTACGCCCTCTTGTTTTGGACCCCCCCACCCTGGGGGAAAGACCTTGACTATTCACCCTGTCCGTGCCCCTTAGGATTTTATAAACTTCTATAAGGTCAACTCTCAACTTAGGACGTGCAATAGAAAATAGCCCCAGCCTATTCAGCCTCTCCCTATAACTCAAACACTCCAACCCTGGCAACATCCTTGTAAATCTTTTCTGAACCTTTTCAAGTTTCACAACATCCTTCCAAAGCAGGGAGACCAGAATTGCATGCAGTATTCCAAAAGTGGCCTAACCAAAGTCTTGTACAGTCGCAACATGACATCCCAACTCCTATACTCAATGCACTGACCAATGAAGGCAAGCATACTAAATGCCGCCTTCACTACTCTGTCTACCTGCGATTCCACTTTCAAGGAACTATGAACCTGTACTCCAATGTAGGGAATTAATTAGTAAAAGACTACATGAGGTTGAAGGTTAGGGATAGGGCATGGGTGGAAAACAACGAGCCCTTGGGATGAATTAGTAAAATGTTCAAACGGTATGAAACAAATGAAGTATGAGAATAGTCTCAGATAAATGACAGGCAATTTCTACAGTTTGGGGGAACAAATGGTAAAGCATGTAATGCAGTAGGGAGAGATCACTTGTTAAGCAGAGAAAGTTCTCAACAGTGATTATAGTGAACATTGGTACGTCAACGTGCTCATTCTGGATGAGGTTGAGGATAGGAAGCTTTTCTCAATGAACAAGGCATTTAATGATGCCAGTAGTTTGGACAACTGCAGACTTGGGTGATCTTGGTGGCATTAGAGAACTTATTTGTAGGATCGAAGGAGATATGGGGGAAACATGGGTTATGCAGAAGTTAGAGACCTTGACCTTTGAGGAGTTAATGGAATTAAGATCTGGAAAAGGGGATTTCAATAAACAAAGATAAGGTAGATGATATCCGAGTTGAAGCCAATGGATACTTGATCTGCTTGACGAGCTATAGCTTAGGATGGTGCCAGCATGGTGAAATAGGGAATTTGCTGCATTTGGATTGGAATTCAATACAGACTTGTTGCAATATGTTATAGCATTATGAGAGGTGGATCCTAGTAAGAAAAGAGCTTGACAAGACTCTGGGGAAAGTAATCTGAATCTTAAATAACATCCAGTGTGTGTATTATTGTGATACAACAGTTAATTAAAATATGAACAATTTGGATACGTGGGGTTACTATATTTGATGTTTGTGACAAGCAAAATAATTTTGACTTCAGTCTATACAACATTTGTTTTATTCTTTGTAATGAATCCATAGAACCATAGAATCCCTTCAGTATGGAAACAGGCCATTTCGGCCCAACAAGTCCACACCGCCCCTCCAAAGAGCATCCCACCCAGACCCATTGCCCTACTCCTGCATTTCCAATGTCTAATTGCATTAGTCTAAATGTCTGCTAACTTGTTACATGAACTTCAAGAAAAAGTCATTAATGTATATCTATTGAAATCTGTTGGGTCATGAAGGTTAAAGTATAAGCTTTGTTAATTTAATATCATTTAATTTAAATAATTGAATGTGGATCCCCTTGATTAAACTACTGTTGATTCATTAACTGAAGACAAGAATTTTTGTTAACTCTGAAGCAGTTATGTCCCTAATTGAAATTTGAGAACCATTGTTTGAATATCAAATTGTGGATTTTTTTATCATAATAAATGTGCTGCATAATTTGATTCCTTGAATTTTGGAGGACATTGGAAATGAGAGTTAAAATTACTGGCATTAATAACAATTAGATGTGGCATAATGTTCTTAATGGATGTTGCGGCAGGGATGTATGGCATATATAAACAATGTTGGAACATTCAGTTCTTCAGAAATAGAAGGACCATAAAACCTTTATAGCACTGGCCTGAGGTGTTGTAGTTTAGCTCTTTAGAATTCCTTGGAAATAAATTGAAGTAATTGTCTTTTGTCCTCATGAGTCTTTTTATCTAAAGCTGAGCCAGTGATTTTCATTATTAGATATAATTTCTTCTGAGAATTCAGCTGAATTTGAACTAAATAGGTCGGCGTTCATAACTTTTTTTTGTTTGTTTATTCAATATCTATTAAAATCAAACTTTTCAGATAACTATTTCATAAAGTTTAATAGTTTTTGAAATGCATGGTCAAGTGAATAACTCAATGTTATAGATATTTTCTTCTTTGAAAAAAAAGAGACATAGAATATCTTCACCTGTTTAAATAAATACACACCGCCTATCAGGGAATGGTAAAATTTGTTTTGCAGTTTCAATGGAACCTTTCAGTCATTCATTCTAGGACAATTTGAACAGTTCGTCACCAAGGATGGACATGTTTGTCAGAACCCCCAAGTGATTAAGTGAAGTGCATGAGCCTGGATCTGATTGTTGAGCAAAGAGATTGTTTTTATGTTTCCATCATCTGGTTACAATACAAATCGATAGTTGAATCCAAAGCAGAGTAGAAGGTTAGAAATTAGAACAAATAACAAAAAAAAATAAATTGATTGTCTTCCTCAGATTTCTCACAGAAGTACTGAAGCCACTGGTGAAGACTGAATTCCAGTTGTTGTACATTTATCATCTTGTTGGTCCTTTTCTGCAACGGTTCCAGCAAGAAAGAACCCGATGTATGCTTGAGGTCAGTGCTTTGTGCATGAGAATGTAATTTTAGTCTGAATTTCAAAAGTTAACTTGGACTTTGTGACAACCAACCACAGAGCGTAATTATAGAAAATTAGTTTGGCATTTCTCAGTTTAAATTTGTGCAGAATTACGTCTCAGAATTAGAATTGAAAATAAAACGTGCCATTGGGAGATAGTGCCACTGTGATCATAATGAGTGGTGGAATTGAAATTAAACTAGTAAAAATCTGGAATTGAAAGCTAGTCTCAGTAAGGGTGCCTTAAAACTATAAAAATTCTAAGATGGTAAGAAATAAAGAACGGGGGAGGCCATTTGGTCAGTCAAGTCTGCTCAGCCACTCAATTAGATCATGGCTGATTCAACATTCCTCACATCCCCTTTCCTGCCCTTTTCCCATAGCCCTTGATTTCCCCTACTGATTTGTTTTAAAAAAAAACTGATTCAGTAATGCTCTTTGGGGAAGGAAATCTGGCCAATCTGTTTTGGTCTATATGTGACTACTGACCCAAGCAATGTGCTTTACTTTTAACTAGCCTCAATGGACTAGCAAGCCACTGAGTTGTACTAAACAGCTACAGAAAAATTGTACAGGATTTAAACCAGATGGACTTCAATATTGGAAACAAAAATGGTACACCCAATACTGCAAAACCTTTTTCATTACTAACATCTTGGTAAAGTTGCAAAATGACTAGTTGAGCAATGACTTGATTGAATCATGCCTAGCATTCAATGTCCTAGATACCACAACCACCAACCCTGGGTTTGTCCTGTCCTGTCCTGCCCCGCCAGCAAGATGAACTCAGCAAAGGCAAATGCGCAATAGGAGAGGGTCAGGAGAGAGTTGCCATGTAAGTCCTCAAAGTTGACTCTGGACCCTAAATAAACCACCAACTCTTTCTTTCCTAATAATAAGTTCTTAAAGGACATTTCAAGTCTCATGCTGCTGTGGTTGCCATTTGGATCCTTTTGTAGGAACATAGGAGCATGAACATAGGATTTGGAAATATAATAGATCATTTATCCCCTGAGCTGACTCCACCATTTAATAGGGTCATAGCTGATCTGGTTACCTTCTGGGAACTGAATTCTAAATTCTAATGACCCACTGCCAGGTTAGAAAAACACTCTTGAAAGGGAGACCTTCTAATCTTAAACTATATCCCTTTGTTTTTGTTTTAGTCCCTCTTCTTTTCTCCCCAGTGTCTCCCCACTCCCCTACCTCCCCCAATCAAAAAGCAAAGGGTAAACTTTGTGTGGACAGCAACCATAACCAATACCTTCAAGATCTTAAGTTTCAATAAGACAGTCTCTCATTTTTTCTAAACTCCAAAGTTCAACCTTTTTCTTCACAAGGTAAGCTCTTCATTGCAGGAATTAATGAACTTTCCCTGAACTGCTTCTGAAGCAATTATAAATATTTTTCAAGTTGGGAGATGAACATTGTACAGAGTAGTTCAAATGCAATCTCACCAACAATCTGTACAGCTGCAGTTAAACTTCTTTTTATATTCTATTTCTCTTGCAATAAATTCCATCTATCCATTTGTCTTCCTAATCACTTGCTGTATTCACATACCAGCTTCTTGTGATTCATGTACCAGCACAGTCACATCCCTTGGCGCCACGGAGTTTACTGCTTGTCTGTTTTTCCTGTACCTTTTTTCCTGGTGATGATTGTTTTCAGTTCATCTCTAACACCTGTTCATTTTCTGTTATTATTAGGAAAGTTTCTATTCCTGAAGATGGGCACAAAACATCTGTTCAAAGCTTGTGCCATTTCTTTATTTTTCATTATTAATTCCTCAGTCAATCTTGAGGATTTGCAATAATTTTAGTTACACTTTCCTGTTCAAATACGTGAAGAAACTCTTACTTTTTATACCACGAACCAACTTTCATATCCTTTCTACCTCTTTATGATCTCTTAAGACATTCTTTGTTGGGATTAAAGTCTACCCAATCCTCTGACCTACCATGAATCTTCGCAGGATTGCAGAGTGTTTCTTTCAATTTAATACGATTCTTAATTACTTTATTTATCTACGAATGATGCATTCCTCTGAATTCATTACAATTCTGTTAATTAAGCTCTTGAGTATGTTTTCTCTAACCATTTCTTCCTCCTACATGGTAGCAAATATATGCAATGCCTTTTCTCGTTTTGGGTATCAATGTCATACTACTATGCTTGGTGCTACAGACTGCAATATCGTTGGAATGTTGAGACAATCCTACGTGTTTCTTGTGTATTTCATAGCTTTCAGTGACATCCTTGTTTAAATGTACATCTAGCATTGAATTCTTTGACATCTGAACTTTCCACTGTTTATATTGTGTTTCAAACTTTGTTACAGCCTTCATGGTACAATTACAACATTTAAAGGGCATCTGGGTGGGTACATGAATAGGATGGGTTATGGGCAAAATGCTGGCAAATGAGACTAGATTAGTTTAGGATATCTGGTCAGCATGGACAAGTTGGACCGAAGGGTCTCTTTCCATGCTATATGTCTCTATGACTGTATGAAGAATTGGCTCAGCTGGAAGGTGGCTCCATTCTGATAAAGAATGATCTTACCGTCAACTTCCTTTTTTGCATTCCCTTTCTAATGGCAGTTTGATCAAATTTGATTCCTTGACGATGTATTCTGCTGCATCTCTCCAAGTATACTTCTATATGGCCTTTTGCTACAAACTGCTGTAATTATCTCCTTGACAACAAGGTGCAGAGCTGGATGAACACAGCAGGCCAAGCAGCATCATAGGAGCAGAAAGGCTGACGTTTCGGGCCTAGACCCTTCATCAGAAATGGGGGAGGGGTAGGGGGTTCTGAAATAAATAGGGAGAGAGGGGGAGGCAGACAGAAGATGGATAGAGGAGAAGATAGGTGGAGAGGAAACAGACAGGTCAAAGAGGCGGGGATGGAGCCAGTAAAGGTGAGTGTAGGTGGGGACTTAGGGAGGGGATAAGTCAGTCCAGGGAGGACGGACAGGTCAAGGGGGCGGGATGAGGTTAGTAGGTAGGAGATGGGGGTGCGGCTTGGAGGTGGGAGGAGGGGATAGGTGGGAGGAAGAACAGGTTAGAGAGGCGGGGACGAGTAGTTTTGGGATGCAGTAGGGGGAGGGGAGATTTTGAAGCTTCCTCCACCCCCCAAATCCCCAACCCTACCCAGGACCTTCCCCACAATGTGCCCGCCACCATTGGCCATGAGGCCACTGTCGGAGAACCCACAGATGACGTCACATCCGCCACCGCTGGGTACCCCACTTCCGGGACAGCGAACGCCATTGCTGCCGATGCCACTGCCTCCATTTCCGAGACCAACACCACAGACACTGAAGAAGCGCCTACCGTCACCGCTGCTGCCGCCGCCTACGCCACTCCCCCCATCACCGACGCGGACGCAACTCCGCCGACCGCCGTCGCAACTCCGCCCGCAGCCGACGCCGACGTCGCTCCGCCCGCAGCCTCCACAGCCAGCAGCTCCAGAGGGTACAATAGCACCCAGCCCTGCCGAGTCTTCACCATCCCCCCCAGACCTCCCCCTTACTGAGGACGAACGGTCAGTCCTCAGTAAAGGGCTTACTTTTGTCCCCCTCCACCCACACATCAACGAATACCGCTCACGTTTGGACATAGAGCAGTTTTCCCGCCGCCTCCACCTCCACGCTTATTTCTTCAACCGTGAACCTAACCCTCCCTCTACTGACCCCTTCTCCCGCCTCCAATGCACCCCTTCTTCCTGGACACCACCCCAAAGCCTCCTACCCTCCCTTGACCTCTTCATCTCCAACTGCCGTCGAGACATCAATCGCCTCAACCTCTCCACCCCTCTCACCCACTCCAACCTCCCCCCCCGCAGAACGTGCAGCCCTCCAATCCCTCTGGTCCAATCCCAACCTCACCATAAAACCCGCAGACAAGGCAGGTGCAGTTGTAGTATGGCGCACTGACTTCTACATCGCCGAGGCCGGACGCCAACTCTCCGATACCACCTCCTACCACTCCCTTGATCATGGCCCCCTTGATCATGACCCCATCCCCGACCACCAAACCATCATCTCCCAAACCATCCACAACCTCATCACCTCAGGTGACCTCCCACCCACAGCCTCCAACCTCATCGTTCCCCAACCCCGCACTGCCCGCTTCTATCTCCTTCCCAAAATCCACAAACCTGAATGCCCTGGTCGACCCATTGTCTCCACCTGCTCCTACCCCACCGAACTTATCTCCAACTATCTGGACTCCATTTTCTCCCCCTTGGTCCAGGAACTCCCTACCTATGTCCGTGACACCACCCACGCCCTCCACCACCTCCAGAACTTCCAATTTCCCTGGTCCCCAACACCTCCATCTTTACCATGGACGTCCAGTCCCTCTACACCTGCATTCCCCATACAGATGGCCTAAAGGCCTTCCGCTTCTTCCTGTCCCGCAGGCCCGACCAGTCCCCCTCCACTGACCCCCTCATCCGCTTAGCCGAACTCGGCCTGACCCTCAACAACTTCTCTTTCAATTCCTCCCACTTCCTACAGACAAAGCGGGTGGCCATGGGTACCGCATGGGCCCAAGCTACACCTGCCTCTTTGGCGGTTACGTGGAACAATCCCTCTTCCGTACCTACACTGGCCCTAAACCCCACCTCTTCCTCCGTTACATTGATGACTGTATCAGCGCCGCCTCGTGCTCCCACGAGGAGCTCGAACAGTTCATCCACTTAACCAACACCTTCCACCCCAACCTTAAGTTCACCTAATACCTCTCTCTAATACCTCTCTCTCCTTCCTGGACCTCTCTGTCTCCATCTCGGGCAACCACCTAGAAACCAATATCCATTTCAAGCCCACCGACTCCCACAGCTACCTAGAATACACCTCCTCCCACCCACCTTCCTGCAAAAATGCCGTCCCCTATTCTCAATTCCTTCACCTCCGCAGCATCTGCTCCCAGGATGAGGCATTCCACTCCCGTACATCTCAGTTGTCCTCGTTTTTCAAGGACTGTAACTTCCCCCCCTCAGTGGTCGAGAACGCCCTCAACCATGTCTCCCACATCTCCTGCAACTCATCCCTCACACCCCGTCCCCGCAATAAGAACCAAAAAAGAATCCCCTTCGTCCTCACGTACCACCCCACCAACCTTCGGATCCAACGCATCATCCTCCGACACTTCCGCCATCTGCAATCCGACCCCACCACCAAAGACATCTTTCCCTCCCCACCCTTATCTGCTTTCCGGAGGGACCACTCTCTCCGTGACTCCCTTGTCCGCTCCACACTCCCCTCCAGCCCCACCACACCCGGCACTTTTCCCTGCAACCGCAGGAAGTGCTACACCTGCCCCCATACCTCCTCCCTCACCAGGCCCCAAGAAGACATTCCACATCAAGCAGATGTTCACCTGCACATCTGCCAGTGTGGTATACTGCATCCGCTGTACCCGTTGTGGCCTCCTCTGCATCGGGGAAACCAAGCGGAGGCTCGGGGACTGCTTTGAAGAACACCTACGCTCGGTTCGCAATAAACAACTGCACCTCCCAGTCGCATACCATTTCAACTCCCCCACCCATTCCTCAGACAACATGTCCATCCTGGTCTTCCTGCAGTGCCACAGCGATGCCACCCGAAGGTTGCAGGAACAGCAACTCATATTCCGCTTGGGAACCCTGCAGCCCAATGGTATCAATGTGGATTTCACAAGCTTCAAAATCTCCCCTCCCCCTACCACATCCCAAAACCAGCCCAGCTCATCCCCGCCTCTCTAACCTGTTCTTCCTCCCACCTATCCCCTCCTCTCACCTCCAAGCCGCACCCCCATCTCCTACCTACTAACCTCATCCCGCCCCCTTGACCTGTCCGTCCTCCCTGGACTGACTTATCCCCTCCCTAAGTCCCCACCTACACTCACCTTTACTGGCTCCATCCCCGCCTCTTTGACCTGTCTGTTTCCTCTCCACCTATCTTCTCCTCTATCCATCTTCTATCTGCCTCCCCCTCTCTCCCTATTTATTTCAGAACCCCCTTCCCCTCCCCCATTTCTGAAGAAGGGTCTAGGCCCGAAACGTCAGCATTTCTGCTCCTATGATGCTGCTTGGCCTGCTGTGTTCATCCAGCCCTGCACCTTGTTGTCTCGGATTCTCCAGCATCTGCAGTTCCTACTATCTCCATAATTATCTCCTCGTCATCTTTATCATCAGTGAAGCTCGAATGAACAAGGTTAGGCCAGGTTTGAATGCTCATTTTATACTTGATAACAGAGTAGAGTTTAGTAAAGGCATTTGTCAAAATATGATCAGAATTTTTAACTATCCCTCGTGTGTACTGCTTTTTTTAGCTACAGCAGAACGTTACATTGAATATAGCGAATGGATTTAACAGACCTGATAAATTTAACTGATTTTAATACTTATCTCCTGCAGATTGGCATTGCATTTTACGAGATGTTACAGAATGTAGACCAAAACACAAAGCACCTGAGCTATATGGATCCTATTTGTGATTTTCTGTACCATGTAAAATACATGTTTACTGGAGACAGCGTTAAAGATCAGGTGAGTAGTTTGAAATGATATTTGTGTCTAAAAACGGTAACCATAAATGTTGGTGAATCACCTGTTTGTTTTCATGACCATTGACCAATGAAAATTGACTGACTCTATGCTTTATAATTCTCGAAAGACATTCTAGTATGTTTGGTTTATAAATTACAGACAAAAGAAACTCTGTCTCATTCTTTTCTGTTTTTTTTTGTTGCAGCCATCTGAATAAATGTCTTGCATATAGATTACACTAAAATTTCCAAAATTAATAAGAACTGAAAAAAACTACAATAGAAAACATGACATTTCGAATAAGCCAAATGAAATTACGGAGTAGCTGGAATAAAAATAGAAAACTAAGAATTAAATATAAATTAATCATTGAATTTTATAGTACTGACCAAGGCCATTCAGTTCGGCATGGCTCTGGCATTAGAATCATAGAATCCCTACAGTACGGAAAGAGGCCATTTGGCCCATAGAGTCTGCACTGACCCTTTGAAGAACATCCCACCAGATCCACCTCCACTCCCTCCCCCACTCTGTTCCCTTAACCCCACATTTACCATGGCTAATGGACACTACGGGCAATTTACCGTGCCAGTCCACCTAACCTGCATGTCTTTGAACTGTGGGAGGAAACCGGAACACCCACAGCAACTCATGCAGACATGAGGAGAATGTGCAAACTCCACGTAAACAAGTATCCAAGTCTAGAATCAAGCCAGTGTCGATGGTGCTGTGAGGCAGCAGTACTAACCACCGAGCCGCCATGCTGCCCAGTGGAGTACTTCAGTGGGAGTGCATGATTCACTATTCAGTTATACGGACTGATTGTAATTGAACTCCTGTTTCTCCATGTGCATAAAACTCAATTAATAAAAATCTATTGTTCTTACTCAAATTTTCAATTGCTTGTATATGCTCACTCTCCTGAAAGAGTTCCAAATTTTGACTACCCTTTGGTGAATAAATTTTTCTCCTAAGTTTAACTTATTCTGGATTGCCTCATTTACAGGTTGTTTCTTCTACTGCTTTAAGCTTTGCTTTGCAAAATAATTCTAGTTTCATTGGGTATACTGCCTCCAGCATTTTCTTTTCCTCTCGTGGCATATTTCATGGCCTGTCAGCACTGCATTGGAAAAAAAAGTCCACTAACTAGTCCTCCTTTCCATGAGGTAGACATAAGGGTAGAAAATAAATGGTTAAAGTCCAATTTATAAAGATATAAAAGAGAAAATTTGAATGTTATCATGTGGGAGTTGATGGACCAGTGATAATGTCACTGGACTAGTAGTCCAGAGTCTCACTCTAATGCTCAGGAGGTGAGAGTTCAAATCCCACCATGGTAGATGTGGTAAAATTTTAATGTACTGAAAAATCCGGAATTCTGGTAAAGCTAGTTTATTGGCAAACATGTGTTTTCGTCTTTTGTTGTTTGTAGTGAAAATCCATCTGATTCACTAATGTCCCTTAAAAAGGTAATCTGCCATCCTACGTGCAACTCCAAACCAACAGCAATGTGGTTGGCTCTTAACTGGTCTCAGAAAGGTTCCAGCAAACCATCTAGTTCAGAAGCAAATAGGAATGGACAATAAATGTTGACCCAACCAGCAACACCCACGCCCCTGTGAATGAATCAAAAAAGTGGAAATAGACACTGGGGAGGTAGGTATAGAAGAAAGATAAAATAGTTTCAAAGGGATAATATTGAGATTAAAAAATTATCCCTGAGCAATGGAACAAAATAACAAATAAAAGTAAAAGAGCAATACCACTATTACTAAGAAAGAAATTGAGGAGTAACATAAAGCATGCGATATTTTTAAATTTCAGGAAAAGGAATGGATCTAGAGATCCAGTAAGATATTCTAAAAAATGTCAAAGAACTAATGAAGGCTGCAAAAAGTAGTGAGGAGAAAACATTGCTTCTAACATAAAGCAGAACTTGAGAGTGTACTTCAGGTATTTCAGAAGTAAGAAAGGTCCCCGTCCACTCCCTGTACGAAATGGCACCAGAGCAATGGTGTCTAAAGGTTGCGTTAGGCTCCCATAGAGACCAATAATTTTTTTTGGAAGAGATTAATTTCCCAAAAGATCCAACAAAAATAATAAACAAGGTTTCACTTTATAAAACTTTTACTGCAACAAGCAAACTAAAATTAATAAAATTTAACCTCAGCTAACTGGTACATGGGACATGAATTGACTTTACGCTGCATTTTGGGCATGTGTCTCACTGATGACAATTCAAAAGCTTGTTCAGCTCTCTGGCTGAGTTTATTCACTCCTCACTACACTATCATGTTAACGTATCAAGTAAAGTTGCTGTAGTCTGAGTAGGCTATAGAGCTGATCTCTCATTAAACAGACATTATTGGTGGTGGTTGAACCTGAGCGTCACCATGTCTTAGGTGAGGGGAAAAGCTGAGAAGGAGAGTCCTTCATGGTAACCTCAGCTAGTGTGGGAATTGAAACCATGCTGTTGGTGTTACAATGCATTAAAACCAAACATCCGGATAACTGAGCCAATAACCACTTTGAATCCAATTATGACTGTTTGGATTCAATGTTTTCTCTCCACAGATGTTGCCAAACCTAGTGACTTTCTGTAGCACCTTCTATTTCTGATTTCATGAAGTTGCCATCTTTTTTTAAAAGATGCCTGATGCTGCTCCTGGCATGTCCTCCTGCAATCTTTGAAGGAGTAGCAGAAAGATCATGTGAATAAGACAAATTGGGTAATTTTGGTGTAATCCAGAACAAGGAGACAATCTTAAATTTAGGAGTAAAATCAGGAAAAAATTATTCACCAAAGGATAGTCAATTCTTCGGAATCCAATTTTGAGCTGCTAAATCTGGTCTGAATCTATGCTGTTTAGCATGACACCAGCTTTTGCTCTAATTTTTTATTCGGCTGCACAGAACTTCAAGGTCCATGTATACCAGCAGCTGCCAGAATTGGAGGTCAGTGCCAGCAGATCGATCACCATGCACAGACCCTCAGAGCAGTTGCACGCACGCGCACGCAGCTTTGAAGGAACTGCATGACTGTATTGCCACTCAACACAACAGAGGGTATCCTAAATGTAAAGAAAGGACATTATTTCCAGAAGGCTTGGTGGTCCAAAACCAGAAATCATTGCTCTGTGAAGTGCTGACATGCCAATCAGCCTATGCAGAACCTTTTGAGTAGCTGCAGATCCAATACGGCAGATATGTCCTTAAGGGATTAACCAGAATGAGTGGTAGTGATGGACATTGAAGTCCTCCACCCACAGTATATTTTGTGCCTGTGCCACTCTCAGTCCTTCTTCCAAATGGTGTTCAACATGAAGATACACTGATTTACCAATGGAGAGAGGGAATAAATAGTTTCTTGTTCATTTTTGACTCTGTCCATGAACATCATAGGATACAGACTCAAAACTGTACTTTATACCCCAGTGTCACCAATCTCCCGTAGGCCTATCCTGTTGGTGGGACTATGCATGCCCAGCATATCTAATGGCGTTGTTTGACAGATCTGTGCAAACTTTGGCTCAGGTCCTTGTATTTTAATGAGGATATTATTAAATTGACTCAGTGTCCCTCTGTTATGCATGAATCTGGATCTCCAGTCAGTAGTACCAGGTAACCCGTCTGGCTTTATTGTTGTAATTCTTTGCAGCTTTTTTGATTCAATTGCGTGACTTGGGCCATTTCAGAGGGTAGGAAAGACTCAACTATATTTCTGTGGGTTTAATTATAAACCAAAGGGATTAAGGATGTAAACCTTCCTTCTCTGTAGGATCTTATGGATCTGATGGGTTTTTAACAAAATTTCTGTAGTTTCCTGGTCACTATTACTAATTCTTTTTATTGCAAACTTTAATTGTTTCAATTTTAAGTTTTGCTGCTATCATTCTGAGGACTTGAATGTGTTTCTCTAGATCATTAGGTCAGGCTTTGGAAATGTTGGTTGGTTAATTCCTATAAAACGCATTCCGAGGCATCAGTCTAGTTTAAGGAATGGGAGATGATGCTTGGCCACCTGTAAGGGATATAGAGAAATGTTATTGGTCTGGATTTCATTAAGCCATTAATGTTCACATCTTAAAGACCTCATGATGTCCCATCTACCTACAGCCAAGCTCCCACAGATGACAATAATGTTTATTAACTGAGAGATCAATGTTGTCTAGGAACTGGGGATAATGCCTCTTCTCTTTGAAGTAGGGCCATTGATCTTTTACAGCCAACATTTTAGTAAACAGGGTGACTGCTTAATATCTCATCAGAGGCACACTGTCAGTATCGCACTGGAGACTCGGCCTAGATTTTTGGGCTGAAGTCTCTGGAGTAGGATTTGGACAGACATGAGCTCTGCCAACCAAACCATGCTGCACAATGTACTAATTTGCACAATCAAAGCCCATGAGATTGATGAGAGTATGCTAAATGAATCAGTAAATGGTGATATAAACAAATTTTATATGAGCGATTAGGTTGGCGATATGTTACCAGTGGGCTGCCACAAGTTTCAATGTATAAATAATTATTCATGAGAAGAAATTGTGTTCAGGTTTACAGATGAGACTAAATTGGTATTGCATCAACTGCTCCCAATAGTTAGAAATTCACTAGTTTCTGGCCATATCAGATTTTGGAAAAGAAAATGCCACTACATTATAAACAAGTGTAAAATTATGAAATTTGGCAGAGAAAAGGATGATGCAAATTATGCTCATTTATTTTTCTCCTACCATGCTAGCAGTTGCATGTACAGATACCAGACAAGCAAAGGATTCGGGGAGTCTGCATACCTCCTCATTGAAGAAAATGTTGACTCTAAACAATATTAATCTACTCTACATTGCACCCACTGGGTCAATAAGATGCATACTTCACACTCAACAATTCATCTGACAGCAAGCATCAGTGAATGGTAATAGGGCTGAAGGCAGTAGTGGTTTTTGAGGGGCACAGAAACGTCTTGAGATGCACCACTCCATTTTCAGAATGTAGTGCTAGTTATTGGATCACTGAGAAGTTGGCCAACTGATTAAACATTTAAATTTGGAAACTAAATATCTAAGTATTGCCTAAAAGTATCTTATTCTGTGATCTTGCTGCTCTGTGTTTCTAGGTGGAAAAAATAATCTGTACGCTAAGGCCAGCTTTAAAACTTCGATTGCGATTTGTGACTCATATAAGTAAGGTGGAGCCAGCAGCGGCAGTACAACCAGCAAGCAGTGCCTCTCCAGCTAACCCTTCCAGCCAGGTGTCCACTGGTGTCGCCCTACCAGTAACACAATAAAATAATTTGGTAGCATTTTGTCAGGAGTTCTAATACTGTGAAGTAAAAAAGAATGGTGTGTATTTAAGGCAGAATCCTTCTTTAAGACATTTTTAAAATATTGTACATACTGTCTATTGGATGATACAAGTAATGCAAATAGAGAAAATTAGCTGTAAACAATGTGCCATAGTTATGTCTTGTTCTTCGATGGTTAGAATCGCTGTGTACCACTTCAGTCAAAAATGAACTGCTACAGTAATGTGTAATAAGTCATCCCCTTAGTTCAACTGATTTTGAACATAGTATTTCACACAATAAACCAAATAGTACTAAATGCGCAATCATAGAAATCTGTTGGTGACACCTTTCATTTGTTTTTCTTTATACCATGCAGTATGTTTATTTAGACTGAAGAGAACTTTTACGGTTTTATTCTGCAAGTTCTATTGCAATTAGTTTGTATAATTTAGTTCAAACTGTAATATCTAGATTTTTGACTGAAATCATATGAAATAATCTACTTGTCAAAAGAACGCAGTTGAAGTGATGTGTACCTTTTCAAAACGCCCAATAAAGCTTTAATTTGTTAATTAACTTTTCAGCAAAACATTCTCAAATCTATTTATTATCAATCTTAATTGTGTAAGCTGCTTTTCAGCTTGAATCTACGTATTCTAATTTCTGGAGGATAATCCTGTTCTCCACTTTTTTTAAACTTTGGTTTCTAGAAAATGAATTTCCAGAATTTCTGGATGTTATAATCCAGATGGTGATCTAAATTGTTCTTCAAATTGCTAGCATACTTCCTAGTTTTAAAAACATTTTTGAGTGGAATAGCAATATGAACATATTGACCACTTGGATTTCTTACTTGTCTTTTTTTAAACTTTGTTTCGACCCACTGTAATCATGGAATGATCTGAAGTGTTTGTATGTTAGCTTCCAAATGTTTAGAATACTTAATGTAATTGTTTCAGTCGGTTCTGAGCAAAAGAAATGTTACATGAGTGTTGATCATTATTATTTAGCAATGCTTAAATTTGCATTTATATTCAAATTTCCAGGTCTATAAACCATTGAACCTTATTGTTTCATCCAATTATTTTTTAAATTGGTAAACCCCCTGCAAAAATGAAATACAATTGAAGTAATTTAATAACTTGTTACCAACAAACTATTTAAGTTTTTACATTCAACAAGTATTTTAAATTGTTGAGATTTTGCAGATTTACCTGACCTGGTTAGAACTTTGCTAATTTGCATTAATTGGCCAATTTTCTTTTGTATGTATTCTGTGATGAACTTAACTTCTACAGGATTTTTTTGAAACATGAAGCACATTAAAGACGAAGAGACTTTGCCTTTTGTACTTTTATCAATAAAAATATGTATTATAGTGATAAAATGCATCAGACTGATTTGTTAAAGGATTAAACTTACATTTATTTTGCAATTTTAGTTATCTTGATACATTAAAGTGCTACATATTAATTTACATTTGAAGGGCTGACTCTGCTCTCATGGAGGAAATTTGCTCACAGTAACCTCCCACATACATCAGTGATTGTTAATTAAGACACTGAGAAGATTTTGCCTGCTCCTATGCCTAGGTGGCACAGTGGTTATCCCTGCTGCCTCACAGCACCAGCGACCTGGGTTCGATTCCAGCTTTGGGCAACTGTGTGGAGTTTGCACATTCTCCCAGTGTCTGCTTGGGTTTCCTCCAGGTGCTCTGGTTTCCTCACACACTGCAAAGATGTGCAGGTTAGATTGGCCATGCTAAATTATCTATAGTAACTAGGGATGTGCTGGTTAAGTGGGTTAGCCATGGGAAATGTGGAGTTATGGGGATGGGGTGAGGGAGTTGGGTCTGAGAGGGATGCTGTTCAAAAGGTCAGTGCAGACTCAATAGGATGAATGGCCTCTTCCTGCACTGTAGAGTTTTGGTGATTCCTTTTTAAAGTGGTCTTTTACACCCGGCTGAGGCCTCAAGTGAAATAAACTACTTCATGAACATGCAGACTTGTATAAGTTTACTTAATTGTAAGTTTGGATATCTGAAAATAGGCCATTGATAATTGTCCTAAGCAAAACTCTTATATAGAGTACTTTGCTGGTTCAAATGTTTCTGACATTGACTGACAACACTTGCACATGAAAAACACATTGCAGCTATTTATGATGTGATCATTAATAAAGAGCTCAGTTAATTTGATTAACAGGCTTGTCGTACAGCATCTGAACAATTTTACATCTACTCATTCTAACCTCTGGTATAATTCAGCAAAAAAAACCTTTGTGTTTGAACTTGCATCATGCAGCATTCCCAAAAGCCAATCGATCAATCTCAATTCTGACCAAAATAGAACAAAAGCAATAATGTGCTAAACAATATTTTAAATCTTGACAGGTTGAAGCTACGTGGTAGCTTTATTTCATTTTGTTCATGGATGAGAGCACAAAGGCATAGCCAGTATTGATTACCCATCCCTAACTGCCCTTGGATGGTGCTAATGAGTTACCACATCATGACTCTGCATCTTACGTGGAGAAACATCATAGTTCCAGGATTTTCACCCGGTATCAGAGGGAATGACAACCTTCCATTTGCCTTCCCAATTACTTGCTGTACTTCTATGTTCCCTCTGTGGTTCATGTACAAGGGCATACATATCCTTCTGTGCTGTAGAGTCCTACAGTTTCTTTCCCATCAAATAATTGTTTTTGGTGCTTCTGCCAAAGTAGACTAGACAACCTCGCACGTACCACATTGTGCAGCACCAACTTGTTGGGAAAATATGCAGTGCCAGAAGACCAACAGATAGCTAATTATTGGCAAATAAATATCCCTACTTAAGGTGAGAATAAAAGAACATCTAGAATTGAAAAACATACTAATGAGTAATCAGCATGGAATTTATAAGGGAAAGTCTTGTTAGACACATTATATTGAAATTCAAATTTAAATATTGAAATTTTTGAGGAGGTAGCAGAGAAAGTAAATAGGGTGGGGGAGGTAAGCCAGAGATATGATGTATCTAGATTTTCAAAAAGCCTTTGATAATGTGCCCCATAATAGACTAATGAATAACGTCAGAGAATATGGAATCGGGAGCAAGTTTCGGAATGGATTATTAACTGGTTTCAAGGTGGAAAGTGATGAGTTAGAATAAAGGGTTATTCTTCAGAATGGTGGAAGATGGGGAGTGGTGTTCTACAAATGCTGGGACCATGCTGTTCATAATTTACACTAATGATTTGGATTTTGGAATTAGAAACACAATTTATAAATTGGTGTGTGACATCACATTGTGGGCAGAACATTCGGTATTTAGAAAAAAATAGCAACAAATGACAGGATGGAATAAACTTGGAGAATGGACAAATAATTGCCAAATGTAGTTCCACACAAATATGAGGTGGTGTAATTTGGTAGGAAGAATGGAGAGGCCGCACATGACTTGAAATATATATTTGGGATGGAGGAACAAAGGGATCTTGGAGTACAAATATACCAATCACTAAATGATGAACCAGAAATTAAAAAGCCCATAAAAGGCAAATCAAACACCAGACTTTATTTCTAGAGACACACAGTGGAATCTTATAGGTGACTGAGTGATGTGGGCTATGGTGAGATTTCTGAGATTGTGTGAGAGGTTTAGTGAGGCCTACCTTGATTCAAAAGCATCTCACGCCATTGTTTATATTTTTGACAAGTGGCAAGGCAGGTTTCTTGATAGGCACCGGCAAGTTACCAATTAAGGGGGGAATGGTGCTTGTTAAATACCTTATTAATTGCCCAACGTGCCTCATTAATGTTCAGTTTCCTGTCTTAGCAAGTGGGCCAAATAAGGTAAACTTTGACAAAATTCGACATGGAAATCAGAGCGGGTACCTGGAGACTTCAACTCACTGCTTCCTGTGAAGGGAGTTGGGCGTCAACATCTTAGGGCATGTTCCATGGGTACCAGACACACACCCACCATGTCTACAGACACTGGCATCCAACATATACCAGTCTGCAAGACCCCTGGCACCACATCTCCAATTACTTACAGGACACTTTTGCACTTCAATGCTGTATCTCAGACTGCACCAGCAGCCATCATTGTCAACCCGCAGCAAGGAAAGTATGTGCTCAGTGACATACACCCAGCTCATGCCCTGGATCCATGTCCGGCTTAGGAGATAGTAGGAACTGCAGATGCTGGAGAATCTGAGGTAACAAGGTGTAGAGCTGGATGAACACAGCAGGCCAAGCAGCATCAGAGGAGCAGGAAGGCTGAAGTTTCAGGCCTAGACCCTTATTCATTTCTGAAGAAGGGTCTAGGCCCAAAACGTCAGCCTTCCTGCTCCTCTGATGTTGCTTGGCCTGCTGTGTTCATCCAGCTCTACACCTTGTTATCTCCATCTCCAGCTTTTTGCTTACCCTCATGGCACTTGCTCACTCACTCTGAGTATACCTGGATGCTCTCATTTTCCCTGCTCCATATCTCCCGGCCTTGTCTTTTTGCAGTATTACTGCTGTCTTGTATTGCAGTTTAGTACAGACAGAAAAGTAGAAAACTTGTCATGGTTGTCAGCAGGTTTCAGTCAAGCCATGGGAGATATCTGTCGCACAAGAGGTGTCAGCACCACAATTCAAAGGCAGTGTCCAATATGAGCCCAGGGCAGTGGAAATAGTCAGTCCGCAGCTTATGCAGTCAGAGTCAGGATCATCTCCACTTCAGGGGTGAGCAGCTGAATGTTGGGTAGTCTACCGCCATCTTTCTGCTTTATGTGGGTTGTTTTCCACTGAGAGAGAGGCAAGTCTTAAGGGAGATGAAGGGTGCTGTTACTTTTGGTGTAGGTGGGGAGGTGTCTCGAGCATGTGAGTAGGCAGTACAAGGGGCATGCGAGGTTAGTGTTGTCAGGGATTGAGGTGGGTAATAGTGGGTGATGGAAGATGCTGAGATCAATAACGAGAGCCAATATTCCCTCTAAGCTGCACAGCCACTCAGAGGTTCCATGCTCACCAAACGAGACTGATGCATTGATTTCTGGTTGTGGACGTCACTTCCACAAATGGACTTCAGACGTTTGTGCAGTGGCAAGAAAAGTTACAATAACATGGGTGAGTGGTAGAGCTTGAGACTTAATGAGAAATTAGAATCGTCGCAGACGTACCGTGAGTGTGAGGTATCGGAGGGAAGATGGTGGCATCTATGCTGGCAGAGTGGAGAAGGCCATTGACCTTCTTCCTACAGTGCTAGGCGGTCCTGGGGGAAGAGAACATCGTGCCCGTACACCATCCTATCCAACAGATCCCCCATGTCCCTCCACAAAGCAAGGTGCCAATTTCCTCATGTCTGAGGAAAAGTCAGGAGTCAAACAGGGCAGCTCTGGACTGACAGTGGTTGTCTGGGTGCACAATGGGCTTTTAAGGTTGACGTGGGTGCAAGGGATGCTGGTTAATTGTAGGAGTAGTGGCTTGTTCTGGGAATGGCAGAAGATTTGGGTTGGGGTGACAAGGCAAGTTCAGTAAGAAAAGCTGAGAGTCCTTGAGGCAGAAAACCCTCCCAAAATCTTGATAGAACATACACTTTGCCAAA